CCTCTCGAGCCACACCATCGCCTTTTGGATACTTGCGTCCACGAGGCGGAGGAATGGTCCTCCTAGCACGAGTTCTACTTCCTCCAGAAGTCTCGTCTCTTCTTAACGTTAACCATGGGCGGATGGTGTCTGTTTCTGCGTTGAAAAGTGCCTGGGAGTCCGTACCACCCCGGTTGCAAATGAGGCGCGAGAAACGCGATGTATCCTGCACTGCGAGGAGAACGAGTCGCGGAGTCAGTTCGATATTGCCAGGGGGGGTGGAGGGGGTGGTCTTAATGCATTTGGCGAGGTAGCTACGGTACGCATCACCAGCCACCCTTTCTGCAAGCTCAGCATGCCCTCTCCCTTTCGCTCTCTTTCTCTTTGGCCTTTCCTTCGCCTCTGTTCTTCCAGCTCCTCTCTTTTTTTCGCTCTCTCCCGTTCTCCCATCCAGCCGACCCCTTTCTTTGCATCCTTTATGTCTCCTTGTTTACGTTCTCTCCCGGATTTTCCGACTTGGGTCTTCTTCTCCGAAAACCGTTTTCATTTACCTGGCCCCTTTTCTCCTTTGGTCTCCCGCTCTCTCTCTCTCTCTCTCTCTGGCCCCCTCTCCCGAGAGTATAATGGATCTAAAACGAACCGTACCGACCCCTTGGCTTTAATCTCTTAACGGGCGAACGACAAAAAAAATATCATTTGTATTCTTCTTTGGAAGACGAACGGAGTCTGGCTCGATCAATTAAGAGATTGCCTTGTCCGCGATTAACGCCGGGCTGTCGAAAAATGTCGAACGATGGACAATCGAATATCCCTGCAGTATCCTCGGACATCCGGGCTGTTTTATCTCCCAGGGGCGCTGCTAGTTTCGTTACTTTGGTGTTCGCGCTAGACGGTTTCTCTCTCTCTCGGTCGGGAGCACTTAGAAAATCGATAAGCTCTGGCTCACTTGATCCACCGTTGGCTGCTGCCAGGCCATATCTTGATTAAAATCAGTGCCGCCCGACGCGCTCTCCTTTCTTCACCCTTCTCGCCAAGATCCACCCCTCCACGTTGAATCCGGTTAGTCTCGTTAACGTCTTAAGTCACTGCCTCCTTCAGCCACCTTCTCACTCTTTCCCATCGCCACTTTCTCCTCGAGAGGACAATAGAACCTCGAGCTTCCTCGAAAACTTACGCAGGCTACTTCTCCTCCGGACGCGTGTCCGATAAAACCACCCCCCAAGCGCCAGCCTTGATTAAATTCGAGAGCAAAGATTGCGTGTATGATCTCACGGTGCCTTGTTTGCTGTAAAACGAAACCAACAGTGCACCTGCAGGCCTGTAAAATCGTGTTCTCGAGAACTTATGCTGCTAATTCTGTTCTATTAATTGTTGAGATCCTCCTATGCACGTGTGACGCTACTTTGGTGCAGTTAGGAACTCGTGAGATTCATCGGTAAAGTCGAGCGCTTGTGAGAGCGCTAGCCCTCTGGCGGCGAGCACGAGGAGCTGCGCCACACGCGTTTCCAGGATCCCACGGTGTCTTGTTCGACGCGAGACGAAAGTAAAAGTGCACTTGCAGGTCTGTAAGATCGTGTTCATCTTCTGTTGTCTGATTGTAGAACATTTACGCTGCTAATTCTGCTCTAATAATTGTTGAGATCCTCCTATGCACATGTGACGCTACTTTGGTGCGGTTAGGAACTCGTGAGATTCATCGGTAAAGTCGAGCGCTTGTGAGAGCGGTAGCCCTCTGGCGGCGAGCACGAGGAGCTGCGCCACACGCGTTTCCAGGATCCCACGGTGTCTTGTTCGACGCGAGACGAAAGTAAAAGTGCAGTTGCAGGTCGATCGTAGGATCGTGTTCGTGATTTGCGGTCTGGTCCCACGAAACCGACACGCGTGGTTTACCACGCGGCTAATAATAACTAAATTATTCGAGTCTAAATAGAAAGTTTGAATTATATTGCAGCGCGGATTATGGTCGAAACCTTTCGTTGCGTAAGTAACCGAGTGCTCGCGCTTGATAGTAAAACAGCGAATTGCATAAATCGCGATGCAACGTTCGCGTTGGGAAACCGTAAATGTCAATTACAATGGGGATACTTGGAGGCTCTGAGCCTCCGTTGCACCGTATCCTGATTCTATGCTGATCATGAAAAAGGAAACAGTGATGCTAGGAGGATATGAGACTCGTGGATCTCGCGAGCCCATGGTAATCAATTATCCCGATTGGTTCTCGTATTTTCTCGGCGAATTTCTCGCGGAATTATCGCGAGGGCGGAGTCGTTGCATTGAAAAACACTTTGCATCCCACAGCTGGGGACTCCCCCGGATCCCGCAGAGGGTATAATTTCACGGACAAAAGGGGGCAAGGAGAAGCGTAATTCTTTAATTTGATCGGGCGTTCCCGTTTCTCGGTCGGCGTCGCGTTGTTCTCGGTATCATTTCGCGCGCCGCGGCCATGATAACGAGTGAATTTTTCACGACTATCCTCATTAAACGGGCGCCCGGGGGCAGACGTGGCAGAGATCTCCCGTTGAATCCGATCGAAAGAGCAAAGACCATCGACGCCCCCAGAAGGTAACGAACCCCGACGCTCCCGGTTCCCCGGTTTCCCGGGGCGCGATTGTGTGTTCGGAGCACATGCAATATGCTTTGTGCCCGGGGACGCCCCGGGGGCTAAGGCATTCCCCGCAGTGGCCCGTGGAAGCCTAAGACCCGACGTGTGTGTCAGAGCGGAGGACGCAACGCGCGATTCGGAGTCTCATCGACGGCCACTGATACCCAGGGACCAAGGGAAGAACCGCGACTGCCCGATGTTTGCCGCCCTCAAATGTTTACCGAACTACCCCTCGCTGCTCCCAGGATCATATCCTGCTTTCAGACCAACCTCTCAGGGTAGACGCGGTCCTGGTCCCTCGATAAGACACCCCGTCACGCGTCTACGGCTCTCAACTTTTTTTACCATTCACTGGAAACAATTTATAGAGTGGCATATAGTTACTCTGCCTATGGGGAGCTAGTTCCTCGAGTCTCCTTCAGCCACTCGATATTAGTTTTTTATCTTCGAGTCCAAACCAAAGAGATCAGTCATTGAATTTGTTTAAATTGAGAGTGTTGAGTGGTGACAAGATTTAAATGTAATTCGGGGTGCAAAGGGTTAAGAGGGTCTACTGTAAACCCCCAAAATATTCGATTATTTTTTTTTGTTTTTTTTTGCAAAATTATCAGAGGTATACCTGTTTAAACAGTCTGGTCCTTTCGTTTACATGCATTTTTCTCAAAACTACCTTTTCTGATTGGGCTTCCCCGATATCTCAAAATCTATACCTGGTTCTCAGGGGATCCCCCCTGTACTGCCCCCAATTTAGACTATTCCTCATAGTAAAAATTTGTGAATATTATCTAAAGGGTAGTAAATATATATAGGAAACATCGATGCAAGAGGTTGCATAGTTTGCTTGTGAAAAAAAATATGAAGGAAGAGAAGGAGGCGTTTTAGAGGAGACCTCCTTGGAGCAGCGTAGCCGGGTGTCGTCGCGTTGCGTTAATTCGTCCCGGTGATTATGGATCCATTAGTGTGGCAGGCAACAAATAGCACGGTACAATCCAATAACCGTCGCAGCCCATAATAAAAGGGGAGGCAGTTTAAGCACCAGTCGGGGGTAGTTTAGGTGACGGCGCGTACGCGGGGCAGCTACGTACAGACAGTGAACGCGAGTGTGCGCGCGTGTTTACCAGTGGATGTTCCCCGTTCTCTGTTCTTCCCCGTGTCCCGAGTGGTCTGTCGGTCCTCTTTCTCGTTCTCACCCTCCTCCGTTCTTTCCGTTCCTGCGTGCCGTCTCTCTCGCGTGGCCGATTTAATGCGGGGTGGGGCGCAAGCCCGCCCCAATACCGTCCAGATACCGATCACTACGTTCATTGTCGCATCGCCGTAATATCCTGCCGATGGGGAGTCGCGACCACGTCCGTGGATGACGTAGACGACGGCTCGAGAAGAACGGAACCCGGAGTTTCGTTCACCGACACAACCCCAACGCAGCCCCGAACGGGGTTGAATGGGGAACGGTGAGGGTGGACTAAAAGCCTCGACTACGCGTTTTGGACGAACACCGGCATCGGCGACGTGTTAATTATCCCGGGTGTTTCGCCGCGGAACAAAAATCGCGGGCACCGTTCAATGGAAATTAATTGGAAACGAAGTTTCGAGTCGCCATTGGGAAATACGGGTGATCGCCATATCACATTCTGGCTCTTCCAGATTCCCCAATTATGACGACTTCTGACAGATTATTATTCACGATTAATACGGAAGATAGTTGCATGACAAGATAGCTTCGCATTCATGGAGATTAAAGTGTCATTTATTAGATTTCCACCATCTTTCTGATCTCGTGAAATCAGTCCGAATTGAGTTCGTGTAGGAAGGATGATTAACAAGAATGAAAGGCTTCAGATGCGTCATTAACGAACAGAACAAACAGTAAGGGTCTGAGGTGTGAACCTAAGCGTTATTGAACCTAACAATTTGTATTATAGAGACCTGGTCGATCCATCGAGAGTCTTTGTTAATTTATTTCACGAAAGCGTGGCCGTTTTAAGGCGATCCACCTATAAACGTTCGTTGATCTTTACCGTTCTCCTCCGGTTCGGTTCTCTCTGCCGACTTTATGGGCCTGTCGAGCAAATGAAATGAAATTCATGCAAATCGGAGAACCAGCCGACTGGCCTGGCACCGCTTTTGTATCGGGGCGGCGATGCGTCCAACCTATATCACGAGGGTGAAACCGTACTTCCCCCTTTGCAGCCACCGAGCGTGGCTCGAATCAAGTCCCCGGCCACCGCGTCTTTTCGTGGTTTCGTGAACGGCTGTAGGGTCGATTTCAATCGCGTTTACGTCGATCTTGCTAAAATTGTTAAAACCGGAACGCGTTCAACTCGCTTTTCACGTGGCGCCCGCGAGGAAGTCGAGCGCTTGCGAGAACGCCTAGCCCTCTGGCGGCCACAGATCGTTTGTTGAATCGTTTTTTTCGTTCCAGGTCATGCTAAAAAGGGATCCAACGACTACGGGAAGCGGATCGGGACCTTCTCGAAAGAGGATTCTGGTAACAACGGGATTAAAGGCGACGTGTACGCCGTGGACGACTCGACCATATTCATAAAAGGATTCTACTACAATGGTGTCGTTCCTACGTACTTCTGGGCCGGAAACGGCTCGGAGGTCCACCGGGGTTTCATCGTCCCGTACCCGGAGGTGGAGAAGGGCATGTAAGGAATCATTTTTCACGGTATCGAACCTCCCAACTGGAACGTTTTAATGTCGTCAAGTACGTGGTCACGGTTAACGTTGAAGAAAAAACGGGGAACGAAAGAAAAGGAACGCGCGCTGCGGGGTTGGACGAAGGCGGCATACCGTAACCAAGGGATAAAATGAAACTCAAAGAGCTTGTTGTGCGCGACGAAGGGGGGTGGAAACAGGAGGAAGGTCGGGCGAACGGATCGCGGGAGTGCAGTTAATAAAACGGGAATTATACGCCGATCTCGTTCGTATTTCATCCGCGCGAGCACTTTATTACGTTTCGATCCGGCGCTGCTTGTCTCTTTTCCATCGAGATTGGGTGGAAAAGTCGTAAACACCGCCCCGGAGACCGACGTTTCCTCCCTCGGACCTCTTTTTTTCACGATCGATTTTTCTTCCTTTTTTTCTAACGTTGCTGCTTCCTTTAAATATTGATGAAGGTAATTGATTCGTTTACGACCGCTCCATATTATTCTCCTCGGTGCGTAACCTTCTCCACCGATCGAATATATTATTTATTCACTTTCGTCGATTCTCGAGCACTCGAAACGATACGAGAATTCGGTGGCGAAATGTTAAACGTGATCGTCGTTTGCCGGTTACTGGCGAAAACTGGCCAAGCGGGAAAACGCGGTATCATTAGAGCACTTTACGAGCACAATAGAGGTGATTCTCCAGTGTGTGTGTTTTTTTTCTTTTTTTTTTTTTTTCTTTCTATTCCTGTCTGCGCAGCAAACCGCCGATGCTCGAAGCGCACAACTACACGGACATCATACTGAAGCTGCCTGACGGGAAGCGGATACGGGACATCAACATGCTCAGCATTTGGAACGATCGATTCGCCGTAAGTGAACCCCCCCCCAAACGTCACGATCAAAGCTTTACGAAATACTCCGATCGTAAGATTGGACACGGTGTTTTTCTTTTTAAAACTTTTCGCGGGAAACGTGCCCCTCGTTTGTTCGTTATTTGGTACGATTTAACCCTCTCTAGCCCGTATAAATTCTCTGGCCTCGTCGAATCCGATAATAAAACGACGATCCTCCGGGTAATCTCGCGCCCGGTATTTCCAATAAATTTCTGCGACATACTCGAGCGGTCCGGGGGGTGGCGGAGAAGACGGTGCACCACCTTGGGGGGGCCACCGCGTGGCACGAGGTTTTATTCGAAACCCCGCGATGCGCGGAGAATGGAGATAACTTGATTTTTGAGAAGGTCCACGGGTCCCTGCGCCCTATCGGACGTGCATTCGTGGTCAATGGCGCGTGAGAGATGGATACGGAAGCCGGGGACCAGGGGCGGGACACGCATTTTCCTGCACGTGCACCGGGGGGGGGCCTCTGTTGTCTGCACGCACCTAAGCATGCGTCTAAGTCGTTTCTCGCCTCTCTCTCCTCCTAAGGCTCCTACATACATACATACATCTTCCGTCCTGACACTGTCAACCGGTCGTCCAGCCACGGAAAGGGTTTATTTAGGGTGCAACGCCATCCATTATGCTATATTCTTCGAACGAACGCTTCCTATTAACTAGTATCTTTCGAACGAAGCTTAACACTTTCACTCAATTACCATTTCATCATACTTTCTTGAGGTCCTAACACCTTGACGGCCATTGTCACGTGTACGTGACTTTGTGAGCCAGCAGACGTCGGCCATTGTCACGTATACGTGATCTACTATACCAGTTACCATTTCATCATACTTTCTTGAGGTCCTAACACTCTGACGGCCATTGTCACGTATACGTGATCTACTGTACCAGTTACCATTTCATTATACCTTCCATTATGCAATATTCTTCGAACGAACGCTTCCTATTAACTAGTATCTTTCGAACGAAGCTTAACACTTTCACTCAATTACCATTTCATCATACTTTCTTGAGGTCCTAACACCTTGACGGCCATTGTCACGTGTACGTGACTTTGTGAGCCAGCAGACGTCGGCCATTGTCACGTATACGTGATCTACTATACCAGTTACCATTTCATCATACTTTCTTGAGGTCCTAACACTCTGACGGCCATTGTCACGTATACGTGATCTACTGTACCAGTTACCATTTCATTATACCTTCCATTATGCAATATTCTTCGAACGAACGCTTCGTATTAACTAGTATCTTTCGAAGGAAACGATGGAGGCTTTAACACTTTCACTCAGTCACCATTTCATCATACTTTCTTGAGGTCCTAACACCTTGACGGCCATTGTCACGTATACGTGACTTTGTGAGCCAGCAGACGTCGGCCATTGTCACGTATACGTGATCTACCGTATCAGTTACCATTTCATCATACTTTCTTGAGATATCATTTATAATTGCTACCATCTTCGTGCAGTTTGGTGTACAATATCAGTGGTGATGGTTTGAAGTACTATATCAAGGTCAGTCTCGCGTAAATGTTGCAAAATTTGGCCAGCGCGTTGTTGAAAAAAGAATTGATTTTTACTATCCCCCGTTGATGAATCTGTTCGTCCCTTTTGGCGACCCACCCTCGCACGCCCACTCGCTTACCCACAAATCTGGGACGGTCGTTCGCACAAAAGTCAGTATCGCTGGAAGATTCGAGAGGGGGGTGGGTGGGCGAGGGGAACGGTTTGAAACGAGCATATCGACGGTGGAGAGCAAGAGCTTTCGCTCTTATATTAGGAGGGCTTTAATATCGAAGTCTGAGGGGTGCTCCCTTACCGTGACAACCCTCCATCAGACACGCTCTGTCACCGCAAAACTCGCTGTCCGCCGCCTGTGTGTCCGTTCTACAGGGTGTCCCGTTACGATACGCGGACGTAAGCGATCGTCGAACCTTTCGTTATAAATCGATCCGTCCCTCCCATCGAGTGCACCGATCAGGAACGCGAATGGAAACCAGGAGACGCGATGTACGGATCTTTACGAGCAAAAACGCATAGATAGAGGCACCTTTCAACGTTTTGGTGAACTCTGAAATAACTTTACGGTTGTTCCAAAGATGTCTGTCGCCGCGATTTCTCGGAGAAGCAAAACTTCTCCCCGGTACTGTATTTACGACCAAAAATCTCGGGGATCCCCGGAAGTATTGTTGTTTCCCTCCGATACGTGGCTCTCCATTCTATTCGTGATTCACAGAAAACTCGAGGCGGGGGTGTACCGATCTCTCTGGGGGGGGTGGAGAAGGTGGCTGATACACGTACAGGGGGTAGACGTGGGTTTTTGCTCCGGGTAGACAGGAGCTGTCTGTCAGTCAGCACACCCTCGCGTTACGTCGAAGGATGTATTGTCGGAATAAGCCTTCTTCTTGTTCCGTTTTCCTATTTCTACCCCCCCTGCCCCGTGTCCCTCGTTCTCGCGTGCGATACACCGCCGTTGGTTTCTTTTGAAAATGAACAGAGAGATATCCACGGTCGATATCAAACGGCCCTCTCAATGGACCACTGATTCAGATAGGATTTAGTAATTTTTTCCAACGTCCGCTCGTCCCCCTCGTTCAAAACGGTCTCGCCACTTTTGCTACGCTTTGGGGGAACCTGTCCGGCCTCTCGCTTTCGGATCTTATCCACGGGGCTTCCTCGGGGAATCCAAAACATTAAAGCCGTTGATCGGTCTCTCATCCCTTTCGGTTCTTCTTTCATCCCTCTCGATATCGGGCACAACCCTTGGCCAGGGAACGTTTTCGATCATACGGCGTTGATACGGATTTTATGGAAAACTTACGTGTCTTACGATTATGAAATTTTATTGTGTTTAATTGAAATCGATGGGAAATGGGGAGAGAATGTTCGTCGAATTTTTTTCTCTAAAGTGAGTAGGATTTCGGGTGTATGTCTATTGACCAAAATTGATCGTAATTGACCCCTGCAATTGAAAATATTTTTTCCAGAACGATTTGAAATTTTTTAATTTCGTCGAAAAGTTTGTCCACCTTTCGGAATTTTTTTCTCAAAAGTGGGTAGGATTTTGAGGGTATGTCTAATGACCAAAATTGATCGTAATTGACCCCTGCAACCAAAAATAATTTTTTCAGAACGATTTGAAATTTTTTAATTTCGTCGAGAAATTTCACACCTTCTCGAATTTTTATCTCAAAAGTGGTTAGGAATTCCCGGGTATCTCTGTTGACCAAAAATGATTATAATTGACTGCTTTAGCTAAAAATAATTTTTTTAGAACGATTTGAAAAATGTTTTTTTCGGTGAAAAATTTAGGCACCTACCCCCTGTCGATTATTCTTAAGAATTCATTTTTCATTTTTAATAAATTAGTTTGACGCCCGATAGAAAAGTTGTCTAATAGTTTTTTGTAGGTACCTATAAGCTCTACTTTGGAAACAAGTTTCATTGAAATATATGCACTATTCTAGGAATTATGGTTATTTGAAAATTGAACCATGTTTATGGGGTTTTATTCATTTTTCGCGATCAAGGATCAACTTTTCGAATATTTTTACGATTTCTACATATTCTTCGCTAAAATACGCGTTGTTTGCCGTTTTAAACATTAAAATCCTCCAATCCGTTCAGAAGTTATGGCATTTTAAAGATTCGCATGAAAATTCAGGGGAATGAATCAACGGTATGGTCAGACAGTGTACTTTTGGCAAAGAATTTTTCTCTCGAAAATAGGTAGGATTTCGGGGGTACGTCTATTCACCAAAAATGCTTGCAATTGACCCCCCTAGCTAAAAATAATTTTTTCAAAACGATTCAAAAATTTTTATCTTCGAAAAATTTCTCCTTCTACTCGAATTTTTTTCTCGAAATCGGTCAGGATTTCGAGGGTATCTCTATTCACCAAAAATGATTGCAATTGGTCCCTGAAACTAAACATAATTTTTTTAGAACAATTTGAAATTTTTTAATTTTGCTGAAAAATTTCACATATTCTCGAATTTTTTTCTGGGAACTGAGCAGGATTTCAGGAGTACATCTATTCACCAAAAATGATTGTAATTAACCCCTGTAACTAAATATATTTTTTTTTAGTATGATTTGAAATTTTCTAATATCGTCTAAAAATTTCACATCTTCACGAATTTTTTTCTCGAAACTGCGTAGAAATTCGGGGGTATGTCTATCCGCCAAAAATGATTGCAATTGCCCCTTGCAACTAAAAATAATTTTTCCAGAACGTTTCGAAATTTTTTATTTTCACCGAAAAATTTAGGCACCTGGTCTAATTTTTTTCTCGAAACTGCGTTGGATTTCGACGATATACCTATTCACCAAAAATGATTCTAATTGACCCCCGCAACTAAAAATAATTTTTCCAGAACGGTTTGAAATTTTTTATTTTCGTCGAAAAGTTTGTCCACCTTTCGGAATTTGTTTCTTAAAAGCGGGTAGGATTTCGAGGGTATGCCTAATGACCAAAATTGATTGTAATTGACCCCTGCGATTGATAATAATTTTTTTAGAACGATTTGAAATTTTTTAATTTCGTCGAGAAATTTCGGCACCTGGTCTAATTTTTTTCTCGAAACTGCGTAGGATTTCGATGATATACCTGTTCACCAAAAATGATTCTAATTGCCCCTCGCAACTAAAAATAATTTTTCCAGAACGATTTGAAATTTTTTTTCCCTCCAAGTGGAAACGGTACGGTCATAGTCAGACTTAGATTCGTAACGCGCGAAATACCGAACGTGCAGAGATTACGCGTTGAAAAAATGTTTCCCCGTCTATTACGTAGTGTTTCGCTTTCCGCGTCTGATCAGTGCGCGGACAGAAACTATCGCGGAAATGAAAAAAACCGAATCGCTTTATCCCTCGATCTCTGCACGCGCCTTGTGCATTACGCTGTTCGTGATGCGGAAATTTAATCTCCCCGCGTATCTTCCACGCAACGAAACCAACCATGAATAC